TAGGAGTGAAATGAAGAAATTAAAAACAGTCTACATCAGTATACCTAAATAAATAGTTGGAAACTATTTTTTTTTTTTCCTTTTCCGCGACTGAAAAAAAAATACGTTAATGACGAGTTCAAACATTGAACGGGAATTGTTTCCCAAAGTCGATAATGATTTTTCAAGCTTAAACAAAGAAAGTCATGATCGTGACGGTGTTTGGTTATCTGATCTAGCATAGGTTTTTAACAAAAATACAACACAACGCGTCGTATTTTCAACTTAATTGTCTTCTTGTTGTTTGGAAATGTGGTCAAACGGTCTCTCGTGTTTGATATATTACAAATTGGACAGAAAGGGTCATTGTTCTCGGTTTTGAAAATCAATTTTTTTGTGTGCATTCTCCTTCTGTGTCATTTGATGGTAAACGGGTAGTTTGCTTTATACATCCGCTGCTGGCTAAGATTTATTTTGACAATAGAACTGTAGCAATTCTCGCACGCTCATTGGCCAATTTACATTGTCAACAAGCGGTCAGATACACGATTTTGTAATCTATGCCTTTTTTTATTGTAAAAAACAAACTGACATCAGTTTCTCATGCGTCTGTCCTATTATTCACAAGGAATTTCGTCATAACATTGTAATATTAGTCTGCAGACCAAAGTCATGATCAATAACAGGACAGACTTATGAAAAACTAACATCAATTGGTGAAATGGAGCTATTTCCATTACATAAATTAAAAGTTCTGAAATTAAATATAACAATAAAGCAGGAAAATCTCACCTGGCAGTAAGCGTTGTAATTCTCAGCAAGAGGTAAAAAGTTGTTTTGGAATTCGATGAGATGTTTTTCACCGCCAAGATTTGTTGGAAGTTTGTCGTATANGGAATTCGATGAGATGTTTTTCACCGGCAAGATTTGTTGGAAGTTTGTCGTATACAAACCAGTTCTGCAGGTAAACAACAGAGTGATATAAAATGAAAATTACCCCAGCATTACACAATGGAGCACCTTTTCTCGGTGTAGACAGTATATAGAACAGTTTAAATTAAAAAAAAAAACGTAGATCTGAATTTGTAGCAATAACTATTTATTTTTAATAGAGCGTTTTGACCTACGTGGCCAGAAGCCACGGAAATTCATTGGAAAGAAAACAGATTGTTCACATAAGGAAAGAATTCAACTCCCACAGGAATGGTTTGAGTTACCAACATGGCCGCTTTTACATCACCAAATTTGCTGCCGTAACTTCATCTGAAAACACTGCATGTGTTGTAAGGATTGGATAATCTTGAACAAGGTTAAACTTCTTGAAAACTAAAACAGTCGAAGAACTCGTAATAAGTCACTACAACCATTGAAATATCAGGTGAGCTTTCGCTCGAAAACATGGTATTTTCACACGTGAAAATAAGACGTTATCTTCACATGTGAAAAGATCACCGTTGCTATAGTTGCATAGTAAAGGGCACCTTGAGCAGCGAAAGTGAACGTGAGATGGTTTGGGATTTCATTGATGTTTATATAATAAATAGAACATTACATGGCCACTTGGAGATAAGAAATTTCTCTTCTTGCGTTGAGAAATATTTCACTCGTTCACTGCCTCTCACTCGTGAAATACTCTTCAACACTCAAAAAGAAATTTCGTATC